AAAAACAAGTTAAATGCGCTGATTCGTTGAACTTGCATACACGAGCCTTCGTTAGATTGAGCTTTCGGGCAAACCTCTGAGAAGAAAATGGTTTAAAATACTACTCTTACATCGAAAACGTATTCTTGAAGAACTGCGTGAGCCACAATACAAATGAGTGTGTAGAAAAAAATTACACACAAATCGCTTTTGCCTGGGCTGTATAACGGAGGTCGCTCAGGATGATCTAAAAGTATGACACGTCGAAATCACATATAGTGCTTACCTTCATCCGTAACATTGTGTTGTATAAACAAAAACGTGGACGAAAACGAATGTGTCCCCTAAGAGTATAGCGACATATTCCACGACACCTACCTTATACAACAGCCCCATCACTATTATCATGGCAAAAAAACTAACAATATCACCATGATTTGATATAATAAACTCGTGGGAAAAATACGATGGGTTCTTGGACTTCTTCCGAACCGGGCGAACAGTCATGATACGTCAGAGGTTGCAACGTCAAGAGCACAGTTGAATTGCCGCCCCAATAAATCGATTCGGTTTAACTGTCACTTGATCCGAATGATCAAAAGTATAGCTCGGAAACAAATTTCAAACTTCAAATTGCAGGACGTGAGGGGGCCTTCACCTGTGAGGTGTCCTGCTAGTGGCGTGTTCTGTCTAGGGACTGACTAGCCTGCGAGTTGGTATTGTTACCGGTTTGAGCGATCCGGAGTCAACTGGAATTAGGGAAAGGAAAAAGAGATGGCGCAGCCTCTGTTTCTTGGAGGTCAGTGTGAGTTAACAAAAAACATTTCAGCTCTAAACGACGTCAGTCCCCGCTGCTATACTACTTCTGGGTAGTCTTGAAGTCCTGGAGTATTTCACGGGCTTAGGAGTTCAAATTCAAATCACAGGACGTAGAGAGGCCTTCGCCTGTTGGGTGTCCTGGTAATGGCGGGTTCCGTCTGTGGACCGACTCCCCTGCGAGTGTAAAGCTTCTTCCGATTCTCCACGAGGGAGTAATATCTGGAAGGTAGAAGGGAAAGGGAGACGGCGCAGTATCTGTTATATGCATTCCATCAGTAAACCTAGGGGACCCTGATCCCTGTGGCAGTTCTG